AGCTCCCTGACACCTTTCTGGTGGATACTGGTGGTTGAAGTGCTATGTATTACATCAAAGAATATTAGTTTACACAGCCTGTTGCACTGCACTGTTTGCAAAATACAGCAAGGTGAGCCAGGAGAGAGAGCAAGGAGAGACAGCCAGGAAAGAGAGAGAGGAGAGACAGCCAAGAGAGTGAAGAGAGACAGCCAGGAGAGAAAACGAGGAATTACAGCCAGGAGAGAGAGGAGAGACAGCCAGGAGGATGAGCAAGGAGAGGCAGCTAGGAGTGACAGCCAGGAGAGAGAGCGAGGAGGGACAGCCAGGAGAGAGAGAGAGCGAGGGAGGGTTTTTTTTCGTTGGTAGATCTCATGTAGCTCGTCATTTGAAAAGTGGATCTTAACACAAAAAAGTGTGGGCACCCCTGTCCCAATGCATTACTGTGGTCACAACCAGTACAACTTCCCAAGTGCAAACTGCTCTCCTCAATGATTCTGATGCTAGATATCTGGCGTAGGGCCAAGATCATCTGAGGCCTAACAACAGATCGCTCCTCCTTGACTTCGTTTTTACTGAACCCAAGACTACAATCTGGTATGTCCTGTGCGTGGGTGGGGATGTGGCAGACCAAAGGCTTGTTTTACATACAAGATCTTATGGATAGAACTACCAACCAATTATTAACCTTCGAACAGTTGAAGGATAAACATAGCTTACCTTCACAGGCACTCTTTTCTTACTTGCAAATTAAACACTTTGCGCAATCACTTACACAGAATCTGATATTTGAGCCTAAAACACCCTTTGAATCACTGTGTGTAGTTACACACACATCCAAGGGTTGGATTTCCAGCATGTATCGCTTGTTGAATGATAGCCCCATGGAAGGTTTTACGAAACTGCCCTATATGTTGAAATGGGAAGACGATTTGGGTATCTCGATTTCCCAACAACAACGGGAACTCATTTGGCGAACAGCCGCAAAGTCTTTGATTTGCTCCATATATAGAGAGAACCAATATAAAATAATGTACCATTGGTATCATACACCTGATTTTTTACATTCTCTTTACCCGTCAGTATCTTCACAATGTTGGCGGTGTGAAGGGTCTAGAGGCTCTTTATATAATATATTCTGGACCTGTTCGGTACTTCCCCCTTCGGGGAATTGGTTAAACTTACATTAGAAAAAACACTTGGACAATCCCTCCCCCTCTCTCCACTTCATTATGTGCTGGGTCTGCCATTTCCTCATCTCTCTAGAGTGGACAAAAAATTGGCAAAGCATATTCTGACAGCTGCCCGTCTCCTCTCCCTACAGTGGAAAAGGAAGCTCCCCCCATCCCGACTTGAACTCTATGCCCGGATTAAAGATGTACAGGTTATGGAGTTCTTGACGGCACGACTTAATAATAGACTCACTGCCCACGAGAAGGTCTGGGGAGCATGGACTACACGGGAAGAATGCACAGGGTGACATATCGACTTGAGCACTAATGCCTAAGACTTGCATGTGGGACAAGGCAAACATTGCTATCACTGACTTGCGGTGAAGAGGCCACTGTGCTGAACTGACTTTGTCCATTTGCCCAACTGTATTGATGATTGCCCTGGAAGATCTGGGTTTTTTTCTACCTTATACCTCTTCTGTCCATTTCTTTTCTTTTTCTCTTCTTTCTTAGTTATATAATGCACAAAAGCTACTAGCCAGGCCTTAAAAGTTACTCGCCACCAGTTGCCCCACCTAACCCCTGCTCTGCCCCAGCCTTAACTCCGCCAGGTCAGCAGTGTGACGCAGAGTACAAAGATCAGTAACAACGCACAGTACAGAAGTCAGTGGTGCAATGCAGAATACAGAGGCCAGCTGTGTGACGCACAGTACACCAGTCAGCAATGTGACGCGCAGTCCAGAGGTCAGCAATGTGACGCGCAGTGCAGAGGTCAGCAATGTGACGCGCAGTGCAGAGGTCAGCAATGTGACGCGCAGTGCAGAGGTCAGCAATATGACGCGCAGTGCAGAGGTCAGCAATATGACGCGCAGTACAGAGGTCAGGGTGTGACGCACAGTACAGAGGTCAGGGTGTGACGCACAGTACAGAGGTCAGTACACAGTACAGAGGTCAGCAGTCAGAATGTAACGCAGTGCAAAGGTCACAAAGAAAGTACAGGGACTTATAGTTGCTTTGACCTCTTCTTCTCCTGGAGATGGTGGGGGAGCAGCTGTAACACACTCACCTGTCAACAGCTCCTGGCCGTCCGGGGGTTAAGGCGAGATCCAATGACGTAATCAGACTCCACCCCTTTATCTTCTTAAGCCGAAGGAGCCACTTGCCTGGTGTTCGTGTAAGCTGTGTGACACCAGGCAAGTACCTCCGCCAAACAAGAACCAGAGATTGGGCTGGTCAGTGCCCCTGCTACACAGCTCCTCTCCACGCCATCACTGGCTTCCCCCTTCCTCCAGCCACTTGCAGATTCAGCTGCTTCCAGTCTGCTAAAGCATTTCCTGCCTGTTCTACAGAGGCTGGCCACCTCAAACAGCAAGTATTTCCAATTGAATCAGTTAATGCCACTGAACTGTGTTTCCAGTTTAAAACCATTGGATGCGATTGAACTGTGTATCTAGCCTACAACCAAATTGCTGCCATTGAACTGTGTACCTTACTCACAAACCATTTGAAGTAATTGAAGTGTGAAGCTGACCTATTGACCAGTTGTAGCCAGTGAATCCTGCACCCATTATCCATCCCTCGCAGTATCTGAAGCTGAGATCTCACCCAGCCCTGACTAGACCGGCCGAGGCGCTACAGCAGCGAGGTTTCCTACACGTCCAGCCGGCTTTCTCTGCTGTGCAGCAGAAGCCGGGCAACTGCAGTTCGGCAGTCTTCCTCTCCCATCAATGGCAACTGAGGTGGGCGGAGGAAACTGCTGTGGTTGCCAAGGAGCCCAATCGAAGCGGGCACAGACGATGGCATTCAAGCTTCTTGTTCTCTTCTCCCTGCCGCCGCAGTCTTAAAGTCAGAGCAGTCTTAAAGAGGCCCCAAAGGGGGGGGCTCTTTAATACTGCTCTGATCACACCGCTGAGCGATCCCTCTCTCTCCTCCTGACCGCTGCAGTTTCAGCTCCACGAGGCGGGCACTGAGAGAGGCGGCTCTGATCACACCTGTCAGCATTCCCTCTCTCTCCTTCTGGCCGCTGCAGCTACAGAGCGGCCGGGTGGAGAGAGAGGGAGTGATAACAGGTGTGATCAGAGCCGCCTCTCTGAGTGCCCGCTTCGTGGAGCTGAAGCTGCAGCGGCCGGGAGGAGAGAGAGGGATTGCAGAGAGCTAGTGCCGGCTCTGGATGGGACACTACCGCTAGCGGTGATCGTTCGCTTCTGTTCTCCTTCTCGGCTGCTCTGTAGCTGCTGCAGCCGAGAAAGAGAAGAGAGAACACAAGCGAACGATCGCCGCGGCAGTAGTGTCCTATCCCTGGTCTCGCCGGTGGTGCACCCCATCACTGACATTCCACTCGCCCCCCCCCCAGGGTATAATGGAATTACATAATTATAATGATACATAAGGTTGTAACTCAAGATGGAATTGCTTTATTTGCCTTTCTTTACCTAGTGTCAACAGAATCTCTTATTGACTGCCTACTGATCAAACCTTTATGTGTATGTATGTATATCTTGTCTTTAATGTTAAAAAAGAAAAAAAATCTTTCATAAATAAACAATTTATTTTAAAAAAAAGCATGTTAAGGGATGGAGAGTAGAAATCAGATTTGGAACAGAGAGCGGTGGATGGGGAAAACAGGATCACCTGCAGTCAGGAGCACTGTTGCTATACAGTTGTGTCTTCTCCAAGTGCCCTGATGACACTTATTTTTAAATAGACAATTTGATTAAAATTGACATTGCAAAAGTGCCTATACCTTCCCCCATAAGCACATCAAAGTTTATAAGACTATGGGGTGGGGGAGTGTATACTAATTAATCAATTAGGAAATTATAAAAGACCCATGGATCAAATAGCAAACTTTTCGACACCACCTTTTAACTACCTTGGATGTAACTGGGCGTGTATACACGTCCTGTTAGTCTCGCCCACTCGTGCGCGCCGCGCACGAGCGTGAAAGACGCATTATTTAAAAACCGTCAGTGATGCCCGTTAATATACAAACGATCCGCCGGCTATAGCTATCTATCTGTCCCCAAAAAAATGGTATAAAATTCATTTCAGTACAGCGTTGCATGACGGAATAAATGTCAGTCCAAGTACCATAGCGCTGAATGCTGAAAAATGGCCTGGCCAGGAAGGGGGTCTAAACACCTGGTCTTCAAGCGGTTAAACAAACAAAACAGGAATGTGGTTATATGTCAATAATATAGGCATCAAATATACAGCTGTAGGTCAAATCATGCTGCAGTAGACAGACAGCAGTTAAAGTAGGGTGGAGCACAAATTAAATGTGAATACCATACAGAAATGTTGCAGAAATATTGCAGTAGACAGACAGAAGTTCAAGCATGGCAGAGCCAATTCAAGCAGGGTGGAGTAGAAAATAAATGTGAATACCATAAAGAAATGTTGCAGTAGACAGGTAGCAGTTCAAGCAGGGTGGAACAGAAATTAATTGTGAATACCTGTGTGGAAGAAGAGAAGGGGTGATGAGAAGATGAAGTAATTATATGTTGTCTTGTCCAAGTGCCTCAAAGACACTTTTTACATTTTGAATAAAATGTTAAAATAGACACTTTGATCAAAATAGACATTGCAAAAGTGCCTATGCCCACTGGCAAATGATAATAAAATAATAATTTTTCAATATCAAGATGAGACCAAACACAATACTGCAGGCGACGAAGACAAGACTAAATCCTTTATAGTCAAGTCTTCAAACTGAAATGTTGCAACTTCTAAGTGAAATGTTCATAAGGCTTTGATTTGCTCTGTTGTTTAAAACACTTACAAAATGTCAGAGTAGACATTTTATTATTTTTTGCATAATCAAGTTTCATTATCATAGGTTTTAATTACCTCCACCACAAGCCTTGGAACAAGGAGACCATTTCTTCAGTGCCCACTCATATGCAACCATGTCTTCTTCAGGAACATAGTTATTACCCACATTTAGAGAATCTTCATGTATCATATATTTGTAAGACAAAGATATTTTGGAATTTCCATGGGGAATTACCTAAAAAAAAAAAAATTGCATGTTGCTATTGCATAATGGTAATGAGTAAGTAGTGAATTTTTTACAATATTTCTAAAAAAACACAATTATTAAATAATAATAATAACAACAACAAATAGGTCCATGAAGTGCCTTGAAATTCTTTAGGATATATACCTGTTCTTTTTTTACTCTTTTCTTCCTTCTCCACCTTTGGACATTTCAAATCTTCCTGAATTTAAAGTCACTTAATCTTCCATCAAAATATAATGTTCTAACCCTGTTTAATTCACTGCACATAACCACATCATTAGAATCTGCATTCAAAGTTTTCATACCTTTTTTAATGCTTCAGACAGAGGCTTTTTCCCCCTCACTTTCTGTCCCTGGTTATTGCCAATGCACATATATTGCAGTCACTGCTTAATGAAAACTTCTAATTCAAGGAACCATTGCATCTGCCATTATATTGTGCATGCATCCCCATTTTCATTCACTAATGCTGGTCCCTGCCACTAGCATCAGTCGCTGTGTGGTGAGTGATTTTATTAAGGGGCTGTTTCTTGTGCTATTACGTGCACATGCTTTGGCACATTAAAACCGTAGTTCATATTAGGACCGAGCAGAGGAAGATGGCTACATTCCCACATACAGTGAAACCATGTAGACCTAATGTAGCTGCTTCAGCTTTTATTATGTTATTATGAGGGTACAGAGGATTATAAATCCAAATTAAGGGATGTGATGACAAATTTTGTAATGAGAAGGTACACATTTGTGCATGGACAATTTAATTTGATTTCTTTTGTTGATTGGGTTTAGTGACACTTCAATCTACATAGCTTTTCCTTGGCTTGCTGATTCTTTTTTTTACCCTCTGTTTTTACTTCTTAAACTTTAACATTTCTTTTAATTTCTATTCTCCATACAAGTTAGTCTACTAATCTTTATGTATTTTACAATATTTGGGCGTGCATAAACCTTTGGAAACTTTTTTAACTGTTCTCATATTTTCTCACAAATCACTTCTAAAAGCAGAACTAAACCACTAAACAGATTCTAAAACTTAGGGTCTTCTGGCAGAAGAAACATGTAGAACGTTTCTTCTCCCAAAAAAACGACTTCCTCTGTCCTATAGCTATTTTTCTTTTTCTGTGCACACTGCTAGCTTAAATGCTGAGAATAAGTTGGGTAGCAAGTAGAATGTAGCTCCAACAGATAGGCACGAGTTAAATTATAAGTGGTTACCCAATAGACAAAAAGGATGAGAGGGGACCCGTAAGAAGTGGCAGAGGAGGTAGCAGAAGTGGAGAAGCTTTGGTGGAGGTGGTAAAGAACTGTGACTGGTCATTCCTAGAGGAGGGCACTTTGG